GTGTGTGTGTGTGTGTGTGTGTGATTTCTGTGCATGTCTGCAGGTAGACAATCATGCACATGTGCTCATGTTTTGAGGCTCTGCATACAACAGGCCTGCATGTGTTTGTATCTGTTTTTATGTGTATTGGGTTCTAGTTGGATATTCTTAATTGTGAGTAACCTCTTGAGATTTGCCATCTTGTCTTGTCTTGGAGGTCCTCAGTAAACAGTAATGCAACAGCAAAGTAAAACTGCCTTCTCCAGAAAAACAACAAGATAATTAAAGAATACAAAATGTGACAAAAGAAACAAGCAAAAAAACAGTAAACATCAAATAAGACACAAACATTTTTTAGAATTGTGCAAAAACATCAAAAATGTTTCACAGTTTCATGGACATGTAATTAGAAGATTATTTTTGAACAATTGAAAAGATTTTACAGACAGGCATGGGAGCCTTAAACAAAAGGCTCTGTTAGCTATTGAGTCTGCAAAGACAGAAAAAACAGTGTATAGTGTCTCAATTGAGGAGAAATTGAGGCTAATTTATTTTTAAACATTGGAAAATAAACTGCAGCCAATGTCATTGTGATAGAAGAGTTTCACAGATGTTGCATTGCAATTTGTAATAATTAAGTTATGAAAAGACAGTCCAGGAAAAAGATCTGTATATTGTGAAGTTTATTGAGGGGATGATTTGTTTTAGCAACCTGATAAACAACATCATCACTATCACATCTTGGTAAAATTACTTCTAATGTAGATTCTTTTCAGCAGTAAATGGAAAGCAGTTTTTGGAGTAGTAAATAATAGCACTGCTGAGCTTCAATTTTTTTTCACAATACAATTATTGTGGCATTTAAATTCGAGTTCAGAGTCAAGGTATTTTGTGTTTTTAACTCTTTGCAGTGGCAGTAACACCCGTGTGAATAGCTGATAGCAGATTCTTCAGTGTGCAGTTGTGCATGTGTGTATGAAATGAGCTTCACCCGTCAGTATTGGGCCGGTGGCTGTGGTGGGGATGCTTGGCTGCTTCCCTTTCCTCCTCTTTTCAGCTGTGTTTTCCCTGCAGACACAGACACACACACACATACACACACACACACACACAGACACATATATGAAATCGTTTCACTATCCCCATTTGGGTAACTCATTGACATATTACATCCTCCAGCATCCATAACCATCACATCTGTGCCTACCCCTGGCCTAAAACTGAATCTTAATCCTCCAACAGCAGTCTCTCCCGATGGGGACTGTAAATTTTCCTCATGAGTTAATGTGTATTCAGGTTGTAGTCCCCATCAGGGTATAAAGACAAGCATACACAGATAGTCTGTTCCTTTTTAGTTGCACTTGAAATAATGCCCTGGAGACGTACCTTTACCCTCACCTTAACTTTTGTCCCCAGTTGCACAAGTTGTTCCCAATAAAGTGGTAACATGTTGCCTGCTCGACCTCCAGTGACGATAAACTAAATAAAGATTTCCTTCACTGTTATAAAGACTTCCTGCATTAACATCAGAGACGTCTTTCGGTGGGACAGAGAGGTTCAATCAAACAGTGAGGCCGTCCCCCAGTAATAGATTGAACTGGATTAAGAGTCACTCAAAAAGAGAGAAAAAGTTCAGATGAAAAGAAAAAACCTCTCTCTCTCTGCCTCCTGCCAGTTCATTCTAAGAATAGGAAGACTAGAGAAGATAAGGACCTGCAGTACAGACACGTCACCTCCGCAGTTATCAGTTGTCATAATAACCACCCAGATTGGGGTCAAAGGTCAGGGGCACATTGTAAACATTGAGGGGATCTTCACTTCCTGTTTATAGATGGTTGTAGTTTAAGGCCACACAGCTTCTGTTCCACACTGAGCTGACTTAACTCTTGTCTGATCTCCATACTGAGAACATTTAAAACTACAAATGATTTTATCATTAAAATGTATCATTAAATATGATAATGGACAGTGTATCTGTTAGATCATTCAAATGCACAATGGGCAACCAAGTTCTGTTAAGACCCACAAAACGTTATCTATTATTCAAGTTCAGATGTCAGAGTTTTTCTATTTGTTTGTTTTTACAACATCTTTTAATTTTTTCCATATCCACTCTGAGGGTCTGAAGATAAAGGGTGTCACATGTTCTTCAAACTGTAAGACCTAAATAATATCCAATTGGTATCTTTGATTTGTCAGTGACAGTGAAAATATTCTATAAATTAATGCATTATATTAACACGTATTGTGTTTGACTCGAAAGTCTGCTATAGCTTTTCCTTCTGTGCCATGGAGTCCATCTCATATATACTGTTGTACAGTGTTCTGGTTGCATAAGTACTAAGTAGTGCAGTAAAATCTGCAGCGAGAAACGCAGCCCAGCTGGTCAAGGAAATTACAAGGCTGTTTTTAAAATGAAAGCTTCCTTTATCTTCAGTGTTGCATTTTCATTAGAAACAAGAAGACTTTTGTCATAGTGTTTTTCTCACTTACAAAAACACGTTTTTCTCACTGCTCTGAATTCAGGGCTTCATTTATTCAAAATAAGTATTCTGCAGCAGCATCTGGATCTTCAGCCTCCTCACTCAAGCATAATCATTTCACCACCTTTATTCAAAAAGCACTTACAATATGTAGAAAACAGTCAGGCTCATATATATCCCCACATAGTTTTAGAATAGTGTGACACTTCAGGTTGTAGAAGTATACGTCCTTGACCCCCATCCTGCTTGCTGACCCCCTGCTGCCATCCTCCCAGCAGCCAGCTACGTATAATGTGCTGGTACTTGACCAACCTTGTGTATTTGGCCTTTATTCAATGCTACGCGTTGGCGTAGCTTTGTAACGTTTTCTCCACATTCTCATTCAGCCTGAGAGAGGAGTTAGCGATCGGTTCAAGGTAAATAACTCGCGCACCATGTACTGTTTGTCTCTATAGTTTCTGTATGGTGGAGAGAATGAAATGCGAGAGGGAAAAAAGAGTGGGAGGAATGTGTTTAGTCACCTTGGTGAGCGCCACCCTACTGTTTGTTGTGGCAGTTGCTCCTTATCTCCACTAGAGGCAGCGTCCTTTCATATTACTGTGCTGCCATTATGTTTTAGTGTAGGTACGTATTTGTGATCCATTGAGAAAGTGACCGGTGTGATTTCATGGAGAGTGACTTTTCCCTGCTGGATGTTGTTCATCATGTTTTTCTTCGCTCTGTGTGTCTGTCTCTCTCTCAGGTGATCAGGAAGGGCTGGCTGACCATCAACAACATCGGCATCATGAAGGGAGGAGCCAAGGAGTACTGGTTCGTCCTCACTGCCGAGTCTCTGTCCTGGTATAAGGACGATGAGGTGAGATGCTTTTCACACACAGTCATACAAACTCAGAGAAATTCAGGTTTCAAACTGACAGGTGAAATTTGTTTCTATGATTTGTGTGTTTCAAGAACAACACAAACGATTTACATAATAATGTGATAGTGTGCTTTCTTTTCTCTACTTGCATAGTGTGAAAGCATTTTTGTGCGTTGGATCTCTGATTTGGTTATGAAAGAGTTGGGTTAGACAGACATATTACAGTCGATGATTGTCATGGCAACATTGTCTTTCTAATGTTTTATTTTTTATAGCTGCTGACACATGTGCCACTCACCATTTATACACGATGAACTTATATCAGTTAAATCAGTCTTAGTCTTATTATTGCTTTTGCTCTGACTCAAAATTTAAACTAGTCATTTTCTTAGACATTCATGTTGACAGTGTTTTTTCTTGACAGGGTCTTTAAAAGTCTAAAAAGTCTAAAATGAAAAAAATATTACAGATTAGGTTTTAAATAGTTTTGAGTTAGGTCTATATGTTAGATATGTTATTCTTTTATTGAAACAAACCCTGTGTTGGTGAATTTGGGGCTTTATAAAAATTAGCAAAACACATTTATCTCCATTAAAAACCCTGTTTAGAAAAATTAAGAATCATCCATTTTCAATATCTGTATTGTCGAATTGAAACCTTATTGGTTAATGTTTAATCTTGAAATCTGACTAATAGTCTGTAATACACTGGAACATTACATTTTACTGCATCTGCCTCTTTACCACACGATGTGATCACTTGTGTCTGTATCACCCAGAAACTATGCATCCAATTGTAACAACAGCACATGTATCATATTTTCCAACAAATTGAAAAACCGGGAGAAATGTTTCAGTTGGATCTGTTTCTTTCCCACTTTCTGGTATAAAAAAAAAAAAGAAATTCCAACTTCAATGGCAAATATGACTGTTGGTCAACTGTTTTTCCTCTGCGCGCCGAGATGATTTGACCTGACGTGCTCTGTTACTGGGCCGACTGGTCCAAGCAGGGTCCCATAATGCATTGCAGAACTATTAGGAGGTAGCCACAGTCCCATTGTCTCCAGGCCTCGGACACAGATGAGTGTGTGTGTGTGTGTGTGTGTGTGTGTGTGTGTGTGTGTGTCAGTCATTGAGAAGGCCCTTTCCAAATGGTCAAGACCCCCCAACATGTCCGACACCGAAGCTGGCATACACATGTGCATACCAGAGCCCCATGCCCTGTTCCCAATCACTCACGTACACACACACAGTCTCACACACACAAGCTGCTTCTAATAAACTTATTTCATTTCAAAGAGGGGGCACAGAGCAAGAGTCGGACTGGATTATAGGGGAGGAGAGAGGAGTGTCTTTTGTTAACTGGTTAGCAGCAGGAGTAACAAGGACCATGTGAAGGGAGAGAAAGTGGGGAGAAGAAAGGGAAGGAGGTCGAGGACGAGGAAAAAGGGACTTTTATAACCTCCCTTACATTTGTCCTCCCCACTTTTCTCATCGCTCCTTCCTCAAATCTCAAAAGTTCATCCCAAAACCTGATGAAAACTCTTCTTAATCTTCCTCGTTCATCTGTCCATTCTCAGCTTTTCCTCGTCACCCTCTTTTTCTCCTTCGTCCCCTCCCTTCATCTCTCCCTCCCCTGCTTGTACTGTATATTTATTTGAACATGGAAAAATGAGGGCGCAGGGAGACCCAAAACCAACACAGAGTGGATGGTGTTAAAGCTCAGAGCCAAGGCTGAAGGGTGCTCTGTGAAAAAGAAAAGAAACGGGAAAAGGAGAAAGAAATAAAGAAACTTTCCATTATGTTTCCTATCCAAGCTGCACTTTTTATGTATCCGAGTCACACGCACAGACACACACACACTCTCAGCAGAGGTTAGAGTACTCGTGAGAGCTAATACTAATACATGCACCTGGGCAGATACTTGCCAAAATACACACATTTGAGAAAAAGCCGAAAACAGATTTATGCTCAGGTTAATGGCCCAAAAAAGATATGAAAAAACGTTTGACTGTCTGCTGAGAAAAACAGTTTTGTGCAACGTTTTGTGCAGTTTCATACAAACACGTCATGTTTCTTTTTACTAACTTGCAAAACAGAGCAACGCCATGTGCCATCTTACGGGCTGCCTCGTCATGGGGAAAACCCTCGCAGTATAGTCTGGCAACACATGTGCACGCGCACACACACACTACTTAAAACATCCTGGCACCACTAGTTGGGTTGAAAGTTATTATTAGTGTCTGGGGTGTGTGTGTGTTTCTGTGTGTGTGTGTGTGTGTGTGTGTGTGTGTGTGTGTGTGTGTGTTTCCATAAACCTTCTGGTCTGTATTACCGCAGGACATGCCGATACTTTGAATCAGGCTAAAAGCTTCCCCAAAGCAGGGAAGTAGAAAGAAAGAGAGGGATGAACAGTAAATGGATTAAAAGAAAAATGCACTTAAAAAAAACACCCACAAGACTGTAAAGTTATTTATTCTCAACATATGTGATATTCATATATTCTTATAATTCGATTTATATAGATACACATGCATGAAAACTGTGTCGCACAGATGTGACTTTTCTTACCTTTAGTGGCTCTAGGACGTGTTTTCTTTGGGTGCCCTTTTGGCTCTGTGCACGTGTGTGTGTGTGCATTTGTGTGAGTGTGTGTGTGTCTGCCTGCCTGGGTTTCCCTGCTCCTGCTGTAAAGCTGCCAGAAAGCCAGACTCGCCTGGTGATCCCAGCTGTAAACATCCTGGGGGGAGACTGCTGCTTTAAACGAACTCACCAGAAACATGCCTGCTACATGTTTGTGTGTGTGTGTGTGTGTGTGTGTGTGTGTGTGTGTGTGTGTGTGTGTGTGTGTGTGCTCCCCTTTTCTCTGTGCGTGCACTTTCGTGTGGGTTTGAGTGAGTGTTCCTGGAGCAGCGACTGAATTTAAAAAAAACTTGTGTGCCTGGTGGCAGGGCTCTAAATGGAAACAGGTTGGTTGGCGGTTTTCACTCCTGCAGCGATGCTCTGTGATGCTACACCGTGTGAATGTTTCTACCCTCTACTTTGCTTTTGTGTATCTGAGACACATAAGCAGCTCAGAGCGGCGTAACCAGTGGGTCGGCTTTATCAAAGATGTGCAGTCTTGAAGACAAACTGTGGCCGCGGTGAAGACATAGAAAAGCAAAACATCTTGGAAAAAACGAGACAGGGGGTCGAAATGAACTCGTAAAGTTTCACATGACGTCGCCTGCAAACACTGAACCTCCCAAACCATTTTCTTGTCTTTTTTTTGCGAAAGCAATACAAAGACTGGCAAACAGACAATGACAGAGTGGCTTCTCTTTCAACATTTTTGTATGGTGGCTTCCTGCCTCTCTGCACATTACATGGTCATTTGAGGTAAAGCAGCCGCAAATTGATGCAGGGAAGGCTGAGACGTAATTGTACAGTTTGGTAAAGAGCGCAGTGTGACGCTGGGGGTTTACTGCGTGTTTGAGTTATCTTTTTGTGTAACTGTTCATTTTTTTACTGTGGTTGAACTTTTTTTAGTCGCAGTTGGAACTTTTGGGTTTTGCAGAAAAATAAATATGTGAAGAATTCCATGAAACCACTTCTTATGTTTATATGATGTCTTTATAGATTATGGTGTTAGGTATAGGATTTTGCACTTTGTGTAAATTGGACAACTGTTTAATCACCAAACCTGTTGGAGTAAACAAAAAAGAAGCAGATAGAAAATAGATATCCATTGATCTTTATTTCAACTTTTTTTGTTACACTTTTAACTTCATCAGATTTCACTCTGAGTTCAAGCTATACACAGAAATCTACAAAGCAAGATAAACCGTAACCTCATGTCTCTTTATAGCTGACAGAATTATGTGTCCGTCTTTCATAAATCCACGCCAGACGAGGGCCAGGCCTCTGTGGTGGGGCCTTCGGGTGCTTTATTTAGGCTTGTGCCTGGGCCTGTCCAGATGGACGAGGGGTGGTGCTGCGTGTTCCCACAGCCTGATGTGCGCTCGCCTGCCGGATGCCCTTTTGGAGCGCTGTCTCTCTCTTCTTTTTGTCTTCTTGCGTGAGTTGTCCCGTGTTTCCCCAGCCAGCCTAACCAATGTGCAGACTACTGTACAACCACTACTTCCTGAACAGGTAGTCTGAACACTGGGCAGGCGGGCTGGGCGGCCGAAGGATGATTTGGAGAAGTTTTTTAACCGTGCACACACACACACACACACACACACACACACACACACACACGTACACGTACAAACACACACAGCTGTACTCACTGCGACTCCAGCAACACACCCTTGAGTCCAGCTCCTCCTGCTCTCACAGTGCGACTGTGGCAAAATGCTGATCAGGCCGATTGAGCCGGCTGGAGGAGAAAACGGCATATGAGGGACAGATGAGAGGGGCTGGCAGGGAGGTAGAGGAGGAGGAGGTGGAGAGGTTAGACAGAGGTGATAGCCACTGATTGGCAGATTCAACAACATTCCCTCCTGTTTCCTGCTGTGAGAGTCTGAATTCCACACCGAGGGTCTGGAGGGAAAACACAAGATGCGGAAAAGCTATTTTGGATGAAGAAAACATCAGTGACAAAACAGACTGAAGAGGAAGAAATCCATTTAATAAGTCTTTTATTTATTTATTTTTGGTATTATTAACCAAAAGCCTAAATTTTAGTTACTTGGCAAAAACCTTTCCAGGTGTGTTAACTGAAAATGCGTTAAAGCCAGCAACACACAAAGATGTTTACACTCAGGGTCATGCCCCATTAAACTCAAATTTACACAAACCTAAACTCTGTCTGCTCAGTCTGAAAATAAATAAATAAATAAAAACCAAGATACTCTGAGATCTTTCACACGAATCTGAGATGTTTAAGTCATGAGAAGTTTAAAACAGTAAATCAGTGCTCTTGGTCCCTGGTCAGTAATCTATCAGGGAATAGTTGCGGTCAGCAGAGTCTCAGCCAACTCTGACCCAACACCTCCCACTAAAGCACCGTAACCT